CAACCTTACAGATTGAAATGATCAGAAAGGATAAAATACAAAACTGAATCTAATATTCAATTCATCAGTTACAAAATTTCTTCAGCTGAATGGGAGGCTTGGATGACTGACGGGGATAAATCATTCACAAAAACTGGCCGAATGTGAAGAGCGTCATTTCCTGATGTGTGCCAGTGGATCCTAACAGCGTGGAGCAGAGTGAATGAGTCCACCATCACCAARGGGTTCTGAAAGGCTGGACTGCTACGTGAAGAGGACACCACAGCTTCAGAGCCAGCCCGGGAGGACAGCGACACAGAAAGCAACACTGAACAGATACACTGTGTGACGCAGCTTTTCTCAGCTTGTTTACCTCCGACACTGAAGAGGAGGACTTCGATGGTTTCAGTGCYCCGGAGGAKGATGAATGGGACTTTTCTGTTTTGTTGGATCAGAAACTATTAACAGTTCGACAGACTAAAATTTCGGGTGTAATGTTTTTTTATTATTATTATTTTGGGGGTGCGGCTTATAGTCCGGTGCGGCTTATACGTTAATATTTCATGAAACTTCAGTCATTCTGTTGCCGTGATGGTGTTTTAATATTCGACTCCTGTATTTCTTCTTGGTTCTGTGAGGAGGAGGTCTCAGGTTCTTCATCATCATCCTGGTTTTGCAGGTCTGGGAGCAGATGTTTGTGTTGTTTAATAAACTGATGAATATTTCAGCTTCACATGAAGATAATAAGAGTGTGTTTGTGATCCCTCACCTCCTCTGTGGAGTGTGACCTGAGGCTGCAGGAGCTCCAGCTGCCTCCTCTGTCGGTCGATCTCCTGCCTGAAGCCCGAACCCTCCTCCTCGTAGTCGGCTACGGTCCTCTCCACCACCGCTAAGATCTCCCGGGCGGCTGTGCTCAGCTTCTCGGTGATGATTCCTCTCAGGATGTCTCCTTTAGACATGTTACTGCAGCAGAAAATCATCATTTCTTCTGCTCTGCTTCTCTTGGAGGGAAAAACTTCAGAACACGATCTACTTCCAGGTTGTGGTGCAGCGGTAAAATATGCCCGTGGAGAAAATGGAAGCGGTGGAGTTTTGTCGATGAACGTTCCTATTACTACACAAGAAAAGAGTTGTGAAGGCAGCAGCAGTAAATGCATACCTCAACAGGATCCTCCAGACCGAGCCAATGGAGGTAGATTAGGTTCTTTGTGGAGATACACCAATCACAGTGCTCTTGGCCTGTTTTATGTTTGGTAAAAAGATCTTTTAGGTTGATTCAGATTATTTTTAAGACTTGTTGAAGCACGTGTAAACATAGGGATACACAAATATCACATTTTTATTTTGTAAGGCTGAGTACAAGAACTACAGTTCTGAAGAAGCTCATGTTCAGATCCCTATATTCCCAGGATTCTCTTCTCCTCTAAACTCAGGACTGGAGTTTTTTTAAAATGTCAAAGAAAAAAATCCATTCAGGCAGCCTTTTTCTAAATTTGCCATTAAATAAATAAATTGTCCATTAAAAAAAAATTTACTTCTGTAAAAGTAAAAAAGTCCNTGCAGCCGACAAATGTGCACTCATGAGGACCCAGACCCTGAATTGAGACACAGCCAATGTTCTTTTTGCATCAAATAGGCGGGAATTTCCCCGAGCGCGTGACACAACTTCGCCTCTCAGTAGACGAAGCGGTTGAAAGGATATATAACGGAAGAGGAGCCTCACACGATCGAGTTTAAGCGGCGACCATGGCTGTGTGCGTTTCGATTTGCGCGATCCTCGTGCTTGGATACATGCAGCACACGGGGTTGTGCGCGACCGGTTCGTGCGACCACGCCGGAGCGAAGATATACCCGACACCGATAATTGGCTTTATGGGGGTCAGCGTACAACTGGTTGGTTTTTTAACAAACCCCAACGATATGTTTTTTCACAACGATCGACCCAGGTGGGCCGGCGAGCTTTCGTACCAGACGCATAAAAGCGAGGAGGATGAGGGCTATGTCGTTACAATCCGATACCCTTCGTGTACAGACGCCGGCCGCTACTGTATCGGAGGGGTCTCTTTTATGCTGGAGATGCGTCCACATTACGGAGATACCTACAACAACGATGGAGTTCTGATGTATTCGGCACAAACGCCCGACGTCTCGATCCCACTGATAAACACCATCAAGATCAGTAAACTGGAAAAGATTGGTTATACAAAAGTGTGGGATGTAGAGAACCAGCTGCTCGACCCAAACTGCGTTCTGGTGAACGACAAGTTCACCGGATGCGGAGACACGCCCGAGTACTACTTGTACGATGTACAAGAACTTCCTGGTATGGACTGTAGCACCGGCGTGATCCCCGAACCGAACCTTCCGCCGAGACTCCACGTACTGGAACACATCGACACGAGGGTCGAACTTCCTGACATCGAAGATGGTAAACTATATAAATATATATATGTTACTTTTTATATACATGTATTGTAATATAATGAGAGCGTATACTAACAGGTTTTTTGTTTTTTTTTTAGATCTCGCTGCAATATTAGAATCCGTACGGATGTTTGATAAATCTGCCAACAGCGCGTCCATGACAAGCACACCGCCTCATCTCTTCTCTGTGTCGTGTATAATAATCCTGTCCATGTTTGTCTTATTGTAAATGAGATGAATTATGCTATGGTTTATATTACATGTCATGAGAATGTTTTTTTTTTTAAAAAAACACCCAATTATTTACGTTGTGACCTTTGCTTGCATGCGATAACTGATTATGTAATTGTGTAAACACAATAAATAAGAGGAAATTTTTATATATTTTACTATCGCTTATAATCATTGTGTGTTACCTGTCTGTGTGAGCTGCTGCTCCTCAGGTTCTTCCTCCTCCTCCTCCTCCTCCTCCTC